GCTCCTCCGTCGGATAAAAGCCAACCGCATAAACACAGTAATGAAAAGAAGTAGGACGTACATGCGACCATCTTCTCCGTCTCCCGCCATATTATTGAAATTGATTTATTCGCGCTTGCTCTCCTCAAATTACCAAAGTGAAATGTAATAATCTTGCTCGTGAAAACACCTATCAGTTTTATTTATTGTTTTCCAAAATTTGTCTCAATTTGGCCTGCTCCAGAGGTAGTCGACGGCATCTTTGAAGTTTGTCCGTCTGCGACCAAATTTTGTCCTTTGGTGAACAAACCGGTCGCACTTGGTTTTTCATTGCGATGACAGATTTTTGACATAAATAAACAGTTTTGTCCTCTAGTGCGACTTGGCCCTTAAGTACTTTTCTTAAGGGGCCGACCATTTAACTCTTGACGGGGGGGTGGGTGATTTTTGGTCGGCAAGAATTTTTTTTTCTAGCAATCTGGTGGGCAGGATATTTTTTTCCCTTCTAAATGCTCTGCAGGACTGATTTTTTTCCCTCCTCATTTCTCTGCAGGATTTTTTTTTCCTCAAAAAAGGGTCATGTGTTTACATATACAAAATGTATTTACACTTACATTCTGGTCATTGCAGTAATAGTTCTAATATGGAGCTGCAAAGCCTTAAAATGTTGTAAGCTATACAAAATCATTATTGTATAGCTATCTTTTCAGGAAGTCATTCTTTACACTCATTTTATTACGTCAAAATAAAGTGATGCACCACAGGCAGATGTGAAAGTGTTTAGTTTCTTAATTAAAAAAAATAGCCAAAAATATCAAAAAGCAGTTTAGAAATGCTCATAGCATGGTAATTGCTGCTAGAATCATTAGTTGCAATTTAAAAGTAGACTGAAATATCCAAAACCAATGTGAAAGCAAAATTGAAGTTAGTTGATCATGGTCTAATTGAAAAATAGCTCTAATAATTTTTGCTCAGCCTTTTTTCAGTCCACTTCTATACAGTTGCAGCATTCAGCCATGTTCATTGCTGCAGTTAATTTTTATCTTGCAGCGCAATTTTTATTCATGAAATATACAGCTACTTTTTATGCACCTATCAATGTCTTGCCCAACCAGAGGGAGTGCGGAAATAGGTGGGGCATTTGACCTGTGAACTTTGTCCAAGGGAGGGGATGTTTTGGTTTGAAATGGCAGAGGGTGTGGAATTTGAAATTTATTGACCAAAGATATTTGAAATCAATTGTCAATAGCCCCTGGGTATACCTGCACTCCCCCAATTGGGGCTAGACATCGATAGGTGCATTACTAAAACTTAAAAAATATATTATATTCATTTAAATAGAAAATAATTACATAAAAATGTTTCTGTTAAAAATGAAAAAAAAAACTTCCTTTGTCTATTAAAACTTGATTCTTTGATAAAAAAAATTACCTCTATTCATAATACTGCTTGTGATAAGCTAATAATGCATTGCACATATGACGCAATAATTTTGCAGCATCATCAAATCCAGAGTTCAAAGTGAGCAAGGGAAAAGAATGGTTGCAGTTTTGCTCAACCTCGTCCCCAGGGCGCTTTTCCCTGGCTTTGGGGGCGGGGCGGGCATTCGGAATCGCGCGCATTTACAAGGCCCTAAAGCGTTTTGCTGACTTGCAAGGACCCATCTGTTATAACGATGCCCAAAATAAAGAGATGAATCTCATAGTTTATTAGATATAATCCGTGTAAAGTTTGCTTATCATTTTCGCATAAATTATGACCTAAATTTGGAAACTGCTGAATTTCTCGAATTGGGTCTTTGCGATTTTGGTGAAACTCTGTTTAGCGCAAGGCACTAATGCGCACTATGTGTAGCCGAGAGATTTTCACGAAAAAATGCCGGCAACAGCAGATTTTCGACTCAGACCTCAAAGGGGCGTGGCATTATAACCACATGACATTTACTCCGATCGCCAAAAATTTTATGTTATATTGTAGATTGATCTATATGTTATCCATTCTATGTGTTAGACTTACGATAAAAGTAAAGGTGGGGATACCAGAGAGCTTCAAAGTAGGATGGTACTCCCCCAAAAAAACTGGGTCGAGTCAGCTTAAGCGACGTTTTCACCGCTATAGAGTCGTGGTATTTTAAACTCCCTGACTTGAGGCATTGACGGGTGGCAAAACGTACTAGAACCTTAGGTAGTCTTTGCTTAAAGTCCCTAATAACTCGAAGCAAGACGTTCGCTTAATACTTTCTTTTTACAACTGAGAAGGGATAGATATATCTGAGTATTTTTTAGAACTTGTTCTTTTTCATTGGCAAAGAAAGAGACAGGAACTGGTTTCGCCCAAGATCATGAACAAACGTAAGTCAAACCAGACAGAAACAATAAATAATCACTATATCTACACGAATTTATCAATGACATCTCTATCATATGGTAGTTTACAACAAAAATGGAAGAAATGGAGACCCCTAACCCTCCTGAACAGCGACTATAAAATAGCGGCAAAATCAATTGCTAATCGCTTGAAACCTCTCCTCCCTGATCTCATTAATTACGACCAGACTGGCTTTATAAAAGGTCGTTTTATCGGAGAAAACATCCGCCTCATCGATAGCGTTATTTGCTACGCTAAAGAAAACAATATACCAGGATTACTTTTGTTTTTAGATTTTGAAAAAGCTTTTGACACGATAGAATGGCCTTTCATTAGGAAAACCTTTCAACATTTTGGTTTTGGTAGTAGCATCTTAAAATGGCTAAACCTTTTCTATTGCTGCCCAGAAAGCTGCGTTTTGAATAATGGTTGGGCGAGCGATTTTTTTGAAATCCAAAAAGGTGTAAGGCAAGGCTGTCCCCTTTCACCTTATCTGTTTGTTCTGGCAGTAGAAGTTTTAGCTAAGGCAATTCGTGAAAATAAAAGTATTAAAGGGATCTTTGAAAACGGTAAAGAAATAAAACTAAGTCAGTATGCAGACGATACAACTCTTATACTAGATGGAACAAAGGAATCGTTAATAGCCTCTCTCAAAACACTGGACGATTTTTATGAAGTCTCTGGCTTAAAACTTAATGACAAAAAAACAGAAGCCTTTTGGATTGGGGCAAATTGTAACAAAGATGAAATATCAATTCTCGGAAGAAACTTTAAATGGCCGAAGTGTAAAGTTAAAGCTTTAGGTGTCTGGTTTTCAAATGATCCGGAAGCAACTGCAACTTTAAATTATAATGAAAAACTAGATAAGGTCCGGAATGTTTTGAGCTGCTGGAAATACCGTAGACTTACCCTAGTTGGAAAGATAACGGTCCTAAAAAGTCTGGTTGCCTCTCAGCTCGTTTATGTGCTCTCACCTTTACATACAAATGTGAAAATTATCAAAGAAGTAAACAAGTTATTTTTTTCATTCCTCTGGAATGGAAAAGGAGATAAAATCAAACGAGACATTATAACAAACGATTATGCTAATGGCGGACTTAAAATGATAGACATACGGTCTTTTAACAAGTCCCTGAAAGCTACATGGATTAAAAAATATCTGGATGAAGAGAACCAGGGAAAATGGAAATATTTTTTTGATATAGAGTTAGAGCGATTTGGAGGCACAATAGTCCTCACTAGTAACTTAAACAAGAAAGATACCATTGAGAATCTCAAGATTAAGAATAACTTTATAAAAGAGATACTTTCAATCCGGGCGGAAGTCAATTTTGATGAAAACATAACGTCCGAGAAACAGTTTCTTGAACAAACTTTATGGCACAACTCACTCATTAGAATCGATAACTGTCCCGTCTTCTATCGTGAATGGTTTGATCGAGGCGTTACGAAAGTGAATCATTTGAAAGATGAACATAACAAATTTTTATCACTAGCTGAGCTGCAGCAAAAATACAGCCTCAAAGTTTGTCTTTTAAAGTATTTCGGACTAGTGTCTGCTCTAAAATCTCTTTGGACTACATGTAAAACAAACTGTATCAAAAACTGCAACAATTATGAAACCTTTGTAGTAAGATTAACAGAATGCCAAAGTGCGAGCAAACTTGTATACACCAAGTTGCTTTCTACAAAATGCAAGTTACCATCCCATAATCAACAGAAATGGCTAAAAGACTGCAACGAAAATGATGTGGAGGCGATTAATTGGCGGGAAGCCTACCAGTTGGCCGCTAAATATACTAAAAGTACAAGAATTATTGAATTCCAATATAAATTTTTACATAGACGAATATCAACGAACGACTTCTTAACAAAAATTGGCGTAAAAGACAACCCAAATTGTTCTTTTTGTAATAATGAACCGGAGAAACTTCTTCATCTTTTTTGGTCTTGTCCTAAAGTGGCCTTTTTCTGGCATAGTTTATCTCTTAAGCTGACTTTGCTCCACATTACACCGGAACATTACACATTAGATATATTTGTTGTACTAAAGCCGGATTCTTCAAAAAACTGCCAGCAAATTAATTTCCTTTTCCTTCTAGCCAGAAATTACGTCTGGATTAGCAAAAGAAGGGAAACCTCGCCAAAGATAGCAGGCTTCCTGCAATACCTCAAATCATTCTACCACATAGAGACCACTGCAGGTCCCATTTTACCAAAAAAATGGGAAAATGTGAGCTCCTTATTTCAGTAAGCCTTTGATTTTGTATACATTTGTATATCTCGATCCTCTGCTCATTTTCTCCAGCATTAACCTGGTGTATCTTTTGCTTCACAATCGCTGCCTCTTTAAGACACTTAAGATATAAGTGCGTTTACCGTGAATGTTGGTTTTGAAGCACAATTACTAATTAGAACTGCTTGTAAATAGTGCATTGTAGTGTGAGTAGTGAGTAGGTAGTGTTGTACGTACTGAGTATTGTAAGTCTTTACATTGTAAACAGAGTAAGTACCTTAGTCTATTGTATTCTAAATATTGTATTGTAAGTAGTGTAAGTATATCGTAGTGTTTGTAAGTATTTTTGATTGTTGATTGTTGATTGAATAAATGTTATTAAAAATAAAAATTAAAAAAAATTAAAAAAAGTTTGACATGTAATATCAATATTTAATCGGGCCGGTTGCAGAACTACCATTCAAAATTAAAGGTATTTCTGGAACAAACATGTTAATAAGAAAGCGCATTTTAAAAGAATAAAAAAACTGTTCGCTTTTTAAGGCAGTATTCTATGACCAGTTTTTCCAAAATCAGGGACATCTTCACGACGACGAACTTCAAACAGAATGGCATGAAGCAAAATGCAATAGGGCCGTGAATGTTATATATCATTTGAGAGCTTGCGAAGATTAACCGAACATGCATTTCCAAAGAAGGCTCACATCGAGGATGCCCGTAATTTTACGAAGAAAATCGGTAGGTTCATCACCAGTTTATATGGCGATGAAGTGACTACTGCGGGAGCAAGCATTTGAAATGTGTTGCGTCTCTTGGTAACGGGTACAGTTTAAACTGTAGAATGCATACTCATGGCATTTCCATTATTCTCCTGATTTTTAACTTCTTCCAATCTGTCGCGGTACTTGTTGAACAAAGCTTGTACTTCGCCCAGCATTTCCTTCTCTAACTGATCCAGTGCAGTATCTCCTTTCACTTTTGACAAGGGTATGGCGTCGGAATGATTTCCTCCTTAAAGGAAAAAAAATTCATTTTATCAGCTCCTAATCTCAAAAACTGGTTTATCGTAGACCATGGTAGCCTGCGAAAACAGCCGTTTCTCCTCGCTCTTCGTCGCTGGGGACGTTTCGCGCGGAGGAACGTCTGCGACTCGGGGAACACTTGAGGGCAGTTTGGGTGTAGCTGAGCTGCCAAGGCCTTGAAACTCTGACCGTGTTTAACACAAGAGACCGGAGCGGTTTTGAATTACGTGACTTGATAAATGGTATTGCGTTGCGGTACATCTTGATTGGCTAATAACATTCGCGCCAATTTTTTTAGCCAGTTACTGAGAGGTTACGTGAAACTTGCTTTAGGCGGGTTTCCCGCGCATGCATCTGTTACATGTAATTACGTTGAGTCCAGTCTCCCTCGCGGGTAATACTAGAGAGCTTTAGCAACGACGACGGCGACGGCAACGAGGACGTCAAAAAAGCAATAGGTTTATATTAGCAAAACAATCACGCTTTTTTGTACATTTCTTTACCGTCCTTGCACGACTACGACGTGAAAATGCCTAATTGCAAATTTTATGGCGGACGTAAACAAGCGACGACGAATCTCTTTTTCTCTCTCTAAACTTGAGTGCGGTCCTCAAGAAATCAACTCCAGGGAAATTCGCCTACACTTACCATTTTCAGCAAATTAGAATAAACGCGACAAAGATTGAAAAATCGGGAATTCATTTTAAAACTGACGTTTTCGCTGCCGTTGCCGTCGTCGATGCTAAAGCTCCCTACTGTGTGGCTCTGGCCCGAGCGGCACCTGCAAAGGAGACTCTGTAGCGCTGTGCTTAGTTCTTTATATGGCTGATTAATAATGTTTTGTGGTCAGTGCATTGTGATCGATTCGATTCTGCTTGTTTCATTTTCAAGAGAACGTATTCTAATATTTAGACAATTATTAATACACAGTACTGTAGCAGATTAGGTAGGTACATAGTTATTTATATTTGATTGATAGCCTTGCCTTTCTTTGAAAGTTTGCATCGGCCAGTTCTGAAGCAAAACAGCTCGGTTACCACACCCACCAGGAAAATGATAACCACAAGAGCGATGCAGGTGTATAAAGAAGGATAAAACAGATCACCAGTGGGATCGAAAATACTCTGAGAATTCTGCACGGCTTCATCATCTCCTCCTCCCTAAACAATAAAGATAAAAACTCGTCTATCATACGGCGTTTACACCCTTTAATATGTACTTTTGAATAAGGGTGAGGGATTGTTTAAGAACTAAAAAATTCGAACAGTAAGTTTTATGAAAATTCACCATTTTTTGAATCTTCCAACTTTAACCTACCACTGAATCTGATGGGACACAATCGACTCTTTCCTATTAGAAGCTAAAAGTATGTTAAATATTTTTTACTTAGCATATTTGTAAATAGAATTATTTCTATACACTAGTTCTGTGAATACAAGAAACTTAAAAAAAGAAAACAACCGATACTACTGTTCGTAATCTGGATATGGCGAAAAAAACAGTCTCCTCTTCCAGCTTAGGGTGATCAGATGTAGCAATTAGTGCTAAGCCAAAAAAAACGGGGAGGGGGAAATCCTCATCACTGTCAAGCAAAACATATGATCTAATTCGACAATTTATCAATTGAAATGTTAAATGGTCAATGCTTTGTACATGAATGAAGTGCGCTAATGTTTTCTGCGGGAACTAAGAAATGAACCAAAAGGAACAAAACATGACAAGAAAAAATTTCAGCTCGCAGGATGCGCCAGTTGTTTATTTACAAGCATGGTTGGGGGGGTTTAACTCGGGATCACCGGGAAACAAATAATCCAGATGCTAGTTTGATGGTATGTAAGGGCTGGACTCGAACCCAGGACGTCTGGATTACGAGCCCGATACGCTGACCACTCGGTCATACACCCTCCAAGAAAGAATATACCTACAACATTGATCTGGAATAAAACCAAACTGAGATATGTCAACGGACCAAAAAAACCCCTCAATTTGGTTATAGTTACCTTAAGTGTTTTTGTAAGTTCGTTTCTTGTAAAGTCGTAAAGCAGGTATTTGTCTTCAGCGATTAAACGTCTGAAACACTTTCTCAAATATGTATCGTTCACAACCGCGCCATATGACAGCGACTCAACTTTAATGATTTCATCTGTTTTGAATTTACTGTCTGGGAATAGTGTCTCTGTGTAGTGACTTATTTGATAATTGTCCAACAGTACGCCTGCAATACAAAAATAGCATAAGATGGCAAGTAGACAAAACAGGCCTTTTCCAACATTTCAAAATTAGGGCAACTGCAAAATTTTTAATATGGAAATGCTTTCTTGGGACGTTTTCATCAAGTATTTCGTCATCGTTACCTGCCTCGAGTAACGAGTATATGAAGGTAGCAACAAACAACTAAGTTAAAATTAAGGTTAAGACGATATAGTAAATAGCCTCTTCGTATGCTGGGTCGGCAATAAACTGGAACCGACTTTCCATTCACGGCAACTGCGGAATAATCGTTTGGGTAATTTTAAGGCTGCTTAACATCAACTCTCAAAAGCTAAAGTTTCAACCTCTCTGCTATAGCTATCCTAAGATAGGTATTTCCCATGTCGAGGCTGCCGATGAGACTGGCGTAGATTATGGCGTATCATTTGCAGAACTTGGTCACGTGCTTGAATACCACTTAGCAACACCTCGTTAAATGGCAAGCCATTCAAGCGTTCATTCAGAACATAAGGCTCTGAGTGCGTTTGGGCGAAGCTTTCCTAGGTTAATTCAAAAGTCTTTAAAGTCTTCTAGTTCAGTTATTCAGGTTAATTTAAAGTAGCAATACACTCGAAGCTTTGTGATCGGAATGAACGCTTGGATGGCTTGTCATGAGGCGAGCCGTTGATAAGCGATATTTTAGCTCTTGACCAAGTTCTGGTCTGTTCTGGGGGACGAATTCTGACCCAAATTCCTGTACAGCCTCGTATGAGCCAATAAAAGAAGCGAAAAAGTCCTCAAAACAGTCCAATGGTGAAGTATAATCCTCAACACTGACCCAGTCCCACGGTTAACTTAAAAATGTCTAACGCTGTTTATTACGTCAGTAGCATTACCATTTGTAATGATGGCCGCTGCGATCCTCTTTCAAAGGACTAAGTAAAGGGAGGATAAATAGCTCAAAGCAGCTAACTGGAGCTGAGTAAGAATACCTTCAATAACTCCATTGTCCAAGGCAACACTCATTTCCTCAACAGAGTTGTAGACTACAATAACAAAAATAATATCGTTTTGGTCTACATTGTGAGAGGGATAAATTAAAGCAATCTAACATGGGTCAACTTGACAGAATCAAATCTAAGGCGTTATTTAGCATACGAGTCTTGAGCGAATGTTGACTCACGTGACCGTTTATACATGCTGATGTCCATGCAGGGTTAAGCAGAATCGCAAAACTCGAAAGATTTTCGCGTATGAACGCAACTGATACATTAAACCAACTAGAAGATAGTGCACACAAAGGCTTTAAGCAAAAAAACAACCAAAGCAAAGCGAACGCATGGAAAACTCGGGGGAATAAAGGTTAGTTATATTCCCTCTGACGTCACAGATTATACTTTGCCACACTCTGATAGGCTAACCCAACAGGGATCTTCCCTTATTAGTAACAGTGGCTGGTAATGGAGCCTGTAGAGGATGAGCAAAGGTTGCGGTCTGATTTTTTCTCCTTACATCACACACAAGATAACAAGTTTTCAAAGTCAGCATAGCAGGCACATATGTTATAATGAGATTGTAAACTTAATCCTTGGGTTCAAAGCCCCATAAACCTCAAATAGAACAAAACTTTGCTTACGTTTAATATCAGCTTGTTGCTGCATAGCTAATGCCATTTCTATGGAACGCTTTATAACTCCAACCTAAACAGAATAAGAAGCACGTATAAATAAACATTTCATGTTAATTCAATACACAAAAACCCCCGTTAATACGGACATTGAGGGGGTCATAGAAAGTGTCAGTATTAACAGGGTGTCTGAATTGAGCAGGTCGTGCTCTTTGAGTAAAAAACACACTTCCAGTGTAATGTAGCGTTGGGAACAACGACATGCTGGCTACTACAGGTTTTTATTCCTTCGAGGAGGAAAGGCTTATTACAAACACAGTTGACAGTGAATTGTCCCCATAAATAAGCGACGTTGACTTTCTATGAGAATCTGTTGATTGCGCGAAGCACAAGTGTCCGATGTCCGCATTAACGGGTGTCCGTGTACGCGGGTTTAATTTTTATTGGCGAAAGGCTTTCCCCAGGGACAAAGAGAATTATAATAGAAAATTTCCTTGACCAGTAAAGTAAATTTCTTAAAAAATAGAATAATTAAAAACAAAACAAATAAGATGTTAAATTATAAAGGAGCGAACCTTTTGTGAATCAAACAGACAAAAATGGGAGATCCTCACCTTGGAACCTGGTAGACTCTTCTTGGTGTCGAGGCTGATAGTTGTAAGTGACGTAGTCAAAGTAGCGGTGAATATTGAGCAAATGCAGATTCCAATTAGAATCCAGCACACCGCAAAAGTTCTTCCCAACAGAGAAATGGGCGCTCGATCACCGTACCTATGTTTTCACACAAGGAAAAAACAGCAATAAGAGTGAAACTTGAAATCGAAGGCAACATCGATGGTAATACGTAATCGCTGTTAGAAATTATTGCGTCATTGTGGCGGGAAAATCCGTCACGTGATCTGAAAAACTGAGCTTTTTGTTAGAACTGTGTAGTCGTTCGGAGACGTTGAGCTGAAGAAGTGTGTGGATTGAGTTTAGATCATCAAGTTTTGCGCGCATTGATGTCGATGAATCCTTTAAGTGTAGAACAGAGTACAGAATTCTAAAATATGAACATGTGAAGAAATATGCTTTAATGGAGTGAAGAATAAAAGCTACAGAGAACTGATTATATATACAACATTTGGTTACAATCGCTAAGGCGGACTAAGCCGGAAAATAGGGGGACATCTAGGTTCCCTTTCTTGCGAAGTTGTCTCTTTTTGTTTGTTTGTTCTGCCGCATTTTTTCTGTCCTGCTTTAACTCAAAATGAGAAATGAATTTTACCGGTGTCAAACGAGAAAGTTTAAAGGCAGATTTTACTACAGGCCATCACCAAGAGTACCTCTTATCCCTGTGAAAACAACGTGGAACTAATCCAAATATGAATATACATTAGAATCCCGATTTTTCGAACAACCGGAGAAAAGCAAATTGATTCGAATAGTTCACGTTCTACATATTAAAATTTTAACATGACTGGAGGCTTTGTGGTCATTTTTCTGTATTTGGTTTGGTTTTCTTTGTGCTCAAGTCTCTGATGGGAATTGTGAGACAACAGAGTTGTGAGAAATTTGCAATTTTGACCCTAAAGCCTCGGAGTCATGTTAGAATTTTACTATATCGAATGTGGGCAATAGAGCTTTCCCGCATTACGCTTCAGTGAGAAAACATAAAGAAATGAGGACGAGGCTCGGGTGAACAATTTCATACAAATCACTGTATTTTGTCCACCCAAGCCTCGAGTTGGTGCCTTTGTTTACAGGAATGTGGGAAAGGTCTATTATCAGGAGGTTTGAAAAAAATAGGGAATAAAAATTAAAGTGTTTAACGCGTAAAGGAAAGTTGGGTTTGGTTCGAAATATTAAGAATTTCGAGAAAACCGATGGCTCGAGAAATCGGGATTCTACTGTAACTCTACCGTAGTTATGGAGATGGATCACCCTTATTATAATACATTACCCCACGGTTGTCATGGAAACAAATGCCCACCAGAATCCTTCCCACGAGCCTCTGAAAAAGTTGCGAGGGAATTGTTCCTCGTTAAACCAAGTATCCTGAAACACAAACCCCAAAATTTAGTTACATAACACTGTTTTCTCAATTCCTACTGGCAATAGCATGTTTTAAATGTAAGCACAGCCTCTGTACAATAAATCTTTGAAAAATATGTGAATTTATAGTTGTCATGTGACGTCTTTTGGCGGCCATTTTACGTTTCCAAGAACAAAAGACCTTCTGTCGATTTGAAACGACAATTAACCAGTATTTTCTTAGGGAAGGACCATTAGAAAACTTATGGGGAGGAGGGGGAGGGGCGAAGTACCAAAAAAATATTCGTGCAAGGGAAAATTAAATGAAAAAAATTCATGCACGCCAAGTAATATCCCTAAGAATATTCATGGTCTGGCTTAAAAAAATAATTCATACCAGGGAAATGTCAACGAAAAAAATTCATGCGGCCAGGAGCCGATTACTCCTGATGCGGCTCAAAAATTCGCCACCCTCCCCATAACGTTTTCATCGTCAAGAAGAAATTTGCGGTGTTGCGTCACTGTGGCAGTGACAGAAATCATTGCTTCATTATTGGTCTGCCTGTGTCAAAGCCCAATTGAAAAATGGAGGCCCTCGTCTGTGCAGCAGAAAGACAAATGGCGGACGGATCACGTTACGTTTCCCCCTACGACCTACAATATCTATAATCACATTCCACGGACGAGGAGTAGCTATACACTCAAGCTAGAAAAAAGTGTAGTAATAATCTAAACTTACCAAAATATTTAAAAACCACTGCATTGTGCAGTCGGCAGCCCAAGCTGATTAGGTAGGTGGATTAGCCCCCTAAAACGCTTCGGAAGCGCGTATTAAGTTGTTTGATTACGCATCCCCTAAATAATTTGCCGGTGGTACGTTTAGCCGGATTTTTTTTGCGAAATTGCAGCCATTTACGTAAAAAAGGCCAAAGGCAGGGTTTTTTTGGCGTCTGATAAGCCCGAAAATTACATTAGTCAAGAACAAGGAAAGGAAAAATAGAAAGAGCGAGGTAAAGGCGGCGGTGATATTTTCAAAAATCCAGCTCATGCACATGGCCAATTCCACTTACCAGTACCCACAAAAGGACACCAGCCAAAATTGAAAGAAGAATAGTTAATATTAACACTGGCCATGCTTCGAACACAGACATTAAAAGTTTCTTTGGGAAGCTTTCCCTCTTGCCTCTAGGAACGACAAACCCAATACTGGAAGGAGGTATCAGACTAATCAGGTTATGATCCAGACTGACCGCTTCTTGCTTATCAACAATGACTGGGTAGATCACGTGAGAATCACGTGACAAACGGAGCAGCTGCTCAGGGTTTTTAACCGGGGGATGATACGTCACTTGCCAGCAGCTTGGGGTGTGGTTCCCGCAGCACTTGGTTAACATCAGATCCAGCAGAGCTGTAACGAAATATCACGAGAAGCCACGTAACCAAATTTAAAGGCGCGATAAATTTTTCTCGAACGAAAGCTGGGTAAAATGTATTAGGTGGGGCGGCGCCTCCAAACTCAACAGTATTTCTGCGAAGTTCATTGGAAATACCAATTTCTCGGCATTTTCAAACCTTACCTCTACAACCACGTGCTTTTCATGGTAAACGAGAATCTCGACCTACCCAAAGGCCGGGGGAGTGGGGTACTGCCATATATGGGCTATATAGGTATGTGCCGCCTTGAAGGATATGGTTTTCAGGCAGTTTACTCTTGGTTTGGGTCTAGAATAGGGTATCATTTTTCAGGAAACTGATCAGTTGGTTGAAGATTTTATATAGACTAGGGAAACAGCTACTCTAGGATAGGGGGGATTTGGGGAGTTTACTCTAGTATAGGGTAGCAAAATTCAGCTGAACTAGCTGGTATAGGTTACGGGTTCCAGGGTCCCAGCGGCACATCCCCATCCAGAAATTCCTAAAGTAACCCCCGGGCCCAAAGGCTTAATTGAGGCAACGGATCGCAGCCCCCTGCGTCTAAGACCCTGTTTACATGGAGTGGGGGACCCCGGTCTAGTGGGGTAAGTTTCTTTTGTTTTGTGTCCCCAAGAGCGTGAAAACAAAAGAAACTTACCCCACTAAATCGGGTTCCCCCACTCCATGTAAACAGGCTCTAAGATTGACGCTTACAAATATTAAATAAACAATTTTATAGTGATACTGTCAATGTACTATCCATATTTAAAAATGGCTATACAAAATGAAAATTAGGCATCGCAATATAAGCACTTCTGCGAACAGTTAACAACACATCTCGTCCCCTCCCACCTTAATTGTTACTACCTTGGGTAGGTCACACTTTGTTCGATGCAATCGTATGGAGGCAGCAAAACATGGTCCCGCATTCATACAGATTTTAAAGTGAGATGTTTGTAAAAAAATTGAACCTTAGTACCTGGTAGTATTCCTGAAGTATAATTGCCGTTTTGAAAAGTAAAAGGCGGTCGAATCAACCACGAAACCTCTATGCAGGCAGGGCAGATTCTAGAAAGGTCACGCCGATACGTCTTGTTCTTCAGGCCAGCCGGACATTTCGCTTCAACATTGACATACATCACGCTAACCAGGATTAAAACACAGCCATAGACAGGGTGAAATCTGTTAGATGTGTGCATCTTCACTATAATAGCACAATACGCAAGACTGACAGTGTATCTTCTACGACAGATCAAGGGCACACAACTTGACTTCGAGGTAAACTCAAAGGGTTCGCCTTCCGTTCTAGAAGACGTAATTGCAAATTACTTGTCTGTTCTGTCCCATGAGACCGACAACTGCTGGCACCGGCATTCGAATCATGCGATCCCGAATGAAGACCAAAATAACAAAATGGAAAAAAAAGAATGAAGACCAACTGAAGACAAATTATTTGGTGGCTACCGTGACATTTGTAAGCTCGACTAAGTTGAATCGAATATCACTTAGATTATGATGAAAACCGCAAAAATGCCCTATTAAAATGCCGACTGACAAAAACACAATGCGATTGTTCTACTGTGGCTTCATGCATGTAATGCATGAGAGAGCACATTGATACAAACACATACTGGTTAAATACTTATTAGTCTCGCTTGCGTAGCGTAAGCAGCGAGACTCATAATCTGCAACGCGTTTTTGCCCCCCCGGGGGGGTGGGGGGGGAGGGTACTCACTTTTATGGGCTATATAGGTATGTGCGGCGCCAAAGGGTATGGTTTTTTTTTACCAAAAACGAGAAGTCCAAAGACTACTGCAGAGCTGATTCAGAACAAAATGTATTGTTTTTTCATAACCGGCAATATTTCGGCTGGCCATAACCAGCCTTCTTCAGGTTTACAAATGTTATACTGAACCTGTGTGGGAATCACAATATTATATAGATAGAGAATGTCGCAATAAAAATTGTTTAAAAGGGAGAGGCGGAAATGACGTATAACACACACCAAAAGTAAAGGACCGATATAAAACGGCATGATGAACTAAAATAGAACCAAAGACTCCGGACAACCAATAAGTAAAGTAAAAAAGACAAACAGAAACCTTAACCCTTACCTGCATAATGTTTAATGTTTTTTTTCCTGTTTGTTTTATACACCTATTTCAATTAAGGTTGCTTGACTTCTTGCTTCCGTGGAGAATGACGTATGATCCATGTTTCATAGCTTTTCGGGTCACGTGATCCAAGAGAAAATGTTTCCCGCCCGTTCGCCTCGGATACGTCACCGAAAATGAATTGACCGATAGGGATTGGAAAACGCCGTATAGGGACTGGGCTTCGTTTAGCCTTGAAACCTAGACAATGACTTAAAAGTTAAACTTTAAAGCCAAGTTTGTATTACTCGCGCACGTGGGAATTTTAGATAGAGCTTGATAAAACATATTCATGGTTTTTGTATAATAATAAAGAACTTTAAATTACGCGTGTCTCTGACTGAAGTGAAAAACTGTGAAGTGTATTAACAGAAAACAGGACCTGCAGACAGAAGCATTTCTAACTGACTGGAAAACAAGTGTGTTGTAAAATCGAAAGCTAGTTAAAATCTCAGCTGTTTAGAAGCACTGACACGATCGGATATAAAGTGGCAAAGTGGAGACAAGATCTATCGACTAGCCTAGTTTCAGCTCACTTGAAAGGAGCAAGTGGTTCTACTATCGTTCTGATTAAGGCTCTTTTTTGGAGTGGGGGCGGGGGGGGGGGGGGGCTGTTTAGATTTCCGCTGCACATACTTTGTTCTGGAGATTCTATAAAAAACAAAACGCCCCTTGGGCAGAGTGCTTAATATTTAAAACTGACCATAGATCCACTGTTCGATTTATCATATAGAGTCAGTCAATGAATGTTTTTGGATCAGGTAAACATGAGTTAAAACTTCTGGGTTTGTTTGAATGGACTATCCCCAACAATGTCCAAAAACGTTGGGTCAACATTGCATCTGGTCTGTTACAGTCCTGGTAAAAGGCCCCTCAGGCATCCGTGGTGATTAAAAGTGGTCCATATGATAATTCTCTGACTAGTAATTGATTGTTACTTAGTTAGACTTGCTGAAAGTCGACTTCTCATAAGTTCTCAAAAGTGCGGAGCAAAGCGAGCTTCAATGCATGAGGTCGCACAGCGACCGAGGGGGCGGCATAACCAACCAGGAAAAAATTGACTTTTAGAAAGTCTATTACTTAGTTGGTAAAAGGCAACAGAACGAATCGACCTTTACTTGGCACTTGAAAAGTGAAAGCTAGCAAACGAAACAAACAAAGAAACAAAAAATACAAGTTTTTTCTTCATTCTTCTCAACGTTTTAGTTGAGACTATGTGAATCGAAGTAGCTAGAGCTAGCTGATTTAAACACTTGCGAACAAATCAGACGCCTTAATTTTCTTTTTTTTTTTCTCACATGTTTCAGGCCAGTAACTATAAACTGCCTTTCACTTTACACAAGATGTTATTTTATGCAGATGCATGAGGTCTCGCGGTAAGGTGTCGTCGCCTGAACCAAGCGATTTTTTAAATGAAGATGATTATTTTGAGAATACCACCCCAGGAACACGCAGTACTGTTTTGCTCTGTAGTGACATCGCTCAGTGGCTTAAACAAGCTGCCAGCCGAGAACATGCTTCTATTACTTAAAAACTAAAACCTTGTTCGTCCCTTGACACTTGACCTTGTACCTAACGTTTTTAGCCATAGAAGAATGCTTTTACTTCAAATTCGTTATCTCTCTATAGATCGGCCGTGTTTCAGAAATAACACCTGATTAAAGAAAGACTACCAGCGACTTCTTTGTGCAAAAAAAAAAAAGAAAAAGCTAAAAGTTTCCAAGTACAGGAAACCGAGAATCAAGTAAAAAAATAGGGTAAATTGAGGAACCGATATTATAAGTCAGTGTACAAAGAGCCATTTAATGATTTAAGAATGCATCCCTTTTCGGGTTAAGAGGTTTCTGCATAGCCAAAACACCTTAATTTTTAAAGGTATTGTGTTAAGATAAAAGAAACAAGAAAATTGGCGAAATGTGATGTGAAAAAGTGTGACTATGATTTGCAAAGAACACAGCTGTTTGGTGGAAATTTGAATGGTAATTGTCTCTTTTTGTATATACATACTTAATTTAGGTGTCGATTTCCTAGTGACCATTAAGAAGTAGCCATTTTTAAACATTTTTAGGTATTACTTAAAAATTAATCAAGGACCTAAAGGTACTCTGGGTGAGTCAGAGAGAAATCCAGACCACTCAAGCCAAGACAAATAAATAAATTATGACTGAGACCTTCAGCTGCATATGATTGATTTCCGTTGCGGTCTCGAAAGCTATTTAGTCAATAAAGTTGTTCAAGCCAATCAACAAGCGCAATTCTAAAATCGAGATCTTTACGATCCTCCTTATAAAGAAAATTTATAATTACCTACCATGAAGCACACCCTCCATGCTGGAGTTCTCAAGCTGAAACACATAAGGCCTTCGCGGCTGCCAGTATATTTGCAGACATCTCGGACACGACGATACTGGACAGTGTTTAGAAGACTGTGAATTGCATTTTCCTTCAAGCTGACTTGTTGCTTGCAGAAGGAAGCAGAAAGTTATACTGAAAGTGACTACGTATTGAGTAAGAGTAGACCGCATTGCACCTTGTAGACCTTATATATTCACATCTGTATAGACATCGATTGAAAACTTTGCAAGCGCCTATATACCAGTACAATTAATAATGCATAAAGTTGTGAATTAGTTTGGTTTTATCCATTTCCTCCAATGATAGATTTTTTAGTTGTATATCTTATTTTTGAGGGAAATTTGTCTAATCATTTTGTAATTTTAATTGAAAACAATGTGCGTTGCATGTTTCAAGGGCAAATCACGTCACCAGAGCCTGCATCACCCTTTTCCAGCGGACGAACGAGCAACGGACGCTCTGAATCCAAAGAATTTAAGTAATGGTCCAGATAAGAAGGAAAGGACCAAAACGCAGTGAACACGTCGGAATGCAAAAAGGTGCTAACTTTAGTATTGTCTCTACTAAGGTTCTGATTGGTTTAAACATCAAATTTTACGAAATCTTCGCAAAGCAGCATGTATATTAATCCCTTTTTTTCTATCCAACTTCCTTATAACAAAATCTCGTCTGAGTCTAAGTAACACAAAAATCGTATGTGCGGATCATGTAAAATTGTGAACATTTCTTGGCCATTGTTTGCAACTCTTGTGATTGGTCGAAATGTTTTAACACAAAAATACACCCTTTAAAAGTGGAGTTTAAATACATTTTCTTTCGTAAACAGCCTTTTTGTAGATTTATGCATTCTCTGCGTAAAAATGAAAAGCTTTCTATGTGAGGAAAGCGTATTGCGCCACAACAAAAGAAAGTACTTCCCTTCTTACCTGGATCATTACTTAAAACCAGGAGTGACCAAAACCGTACCGGGACATCCGGCACCTGCGAGAAGTTGTTTACCCACGTGACCAAGAGACTTGCCCAAGTGAATTTTGTAATGATACTCGTTCTAGAGCAGTCTTTTTCTTAACGTTACCTTTGATCGATGTATTTAGTGAAGAAAATGAAGTCAACTCTCTCGTAAGCGACTAACCATGGTAGACAACAAAGTGGTCGCTTACGAGAGGTGGTCGTCTACGGGGAGAATCAAGAAAATAAGCTCAAACTCAAATTTCTGGCCTTAAAACTGCATGGTCGCGGTGTTTTAAATACTGTTTAAAAAATGAGCAGGAGTGTATTATCATTTTTAAAAACTCGAGGCGAAGATGATAACATTCGACTGCGAGTTTTTTGAACAGCTTCAAAATCTCTGATATAGATCAGCTCATTCTTGCACTAATATTCAAATTTGGCGTTATTTTGGTCTAAAAAATTAAGCTCAGCCGTGTCTTTATCGAATTTAATTAAAGACACTCACTAAACGTTGATTTCATTTTTTTTTTTTTATGAATTATTAATAAGTTTTTGAAGAAATTTTAAGTAAGTGCAGTAGATTCCATACTGATTTAAGTGCAAGTAATAGTTGAGTTTGATGAAATCGTCGGGCCTAAAACTTTTTTAAGGTGGTTCAGCTTGAATGTGCTTATCAATAATAAAAACTAAAGAGTTTTAAAGGTTTTAAAAATCGTCGACCTGAGCGGCTTCGTAATCCC